GGAGCATCCGCATCCCGCGTTCTGCGGCGGAAGCAGAACATCGAAGACGGCAATAGCGCATCGGATGTCACTTTGCTGTTGCGATAACCTCAAAACTTGAGAAATTGACCGCCCGTCTTCCATCGCTGGGAGTTGCTAGCTATATAAAGGCAGGCCGTGCCGCTCATGACTTGATTCTGCTTTCAGGCTGCGGTGCAACCAGTCTAGAAAAAGATACCGATTCCGTGCCTCGAAATGATTTTAAAAGCGACAAGTTGTAGATTCCGTGCCTGGAAATAATTTCAAAAGCGACAAGTTGTATAATTCGGAACAAACAATTTTGAAAATAAAAAAAAATGTTGTTACTGTTTCCAGCACTTGATTGAACAAAATTTAGATTTACTACAAATGCGATTAGCGGAAATAATCAAAGGAAAATAAGCTGCTCATTGAGGTGCGTTCGAAGGTGCTTCCAAAAGTTCGTGGAAAATGGATACATCTGAAAATCATATGAAAAGAATATGATGCCAATGTACCAGAACGATCCTGTATCAATGTTTTATAACGTGTTCTCACATGAACCCTTAAATTATTGTTACAAACGCGGAGCGCTGTTTTAAGAACAACTCTTCCTGCAACTTGGCATCTGCCGAAATCGAGGCCAGGTCAAATAACAAATTCATAGTGGCTTGGGTGAAGAACAGCCAAATCGTTGACTATCTGGAACGAGTTTATGGTTAAAGTGACTCAAATAAATCAGCATACAAATGCATTTGTCAGTCGTTCCAGAAGCGGGGATGAAAGATGGCTCCACCAGTACAATTCCTAGGACAAAACTTAATCGAAGGAGGGGCTGTTCAGGGGAGGAAGTGCGTCCGGCAACGAAAAATCTGAGCGTTCAAGAGAAAAGATTTTCTGGGATGCTGAGGGCATCTTATTAGTTGATTCCCTCGGAAAAAGAGCAATATTGCAGCTGTTTAATATGAAGAAATTTTGATATAAAATTTCCAAGAAAATCGCTGAAACGCATCTTGGGAAGCAGCATGGGCGCACATGCACTCTTCCACCACGACAATGCACCCTCACAAGGCGCTCGGCAGAAATGAGCTTGCCACGCGAATTTCGAAAGGAAATCATTCGGCATCAGTTTCCATCAACTGAAGATGGAAGAATCATAACCCAGTTTCCATCAACTGGAGATGGAAGAATCATTACCCAGTTTCCATCAACTGAAGATGGAAGAATCACTACCAGTTTCCATCAACTGGAGATGGAAGAATCATAACCCAGTTTCCATCAACTGAATATGGAAGAATCATAAACCAGTTTCCAACAATTGAAGCAGCAAAGAGAGCAGGCAAATATGGTTCAAACCGCATGGCTCTGAATTTTACACCGATGGACTTAATGGCTGCTATCAGAGTTCACAGTTTATTTCAAGTTTATCGACCTAGATAAGCATACATATGAAAATAAAACTTATGGCTATGATTTTTTTTCAAACTATTGTTTTTCCACGAATTTTTTGAAGCCACCTCATACACGAAGTGATTGTAAAGTGTTTTTCCCTTGTTTAAACAGTTTTTGCTCTAAAACTTATGATCACTTATTGGTCTCTTCTACAGAGACAGGATATAACGCATTTAAATAGTCAGGTCTGCTTTTATTACTTCCAACTCATTCATGCTTGATCTATCATCCGCATTTTACCTGCTATAGTTGTGTTTAAACTTGAATTATGTCGTTATTCCGAGGCAAGACTACATTCGTTTCGATTTCCGTTAGTCCACTTTTTAACGTCCATTTTTTATTGTTACTTATCGTCAACACGCGTCCTGCAAGATTAAATTACAGCACTGAAATTAAATATAAATATTTGGAGTTCATCGCAGAGCTAAATTTGATTTTTTAGTATTAAATAACTAATGGAATCTATTGTCACAGAAACTTTTGATTATTTAATTTGCTTCGGTTTTTTAGAAAGCTCTATGGCGTGTTTTTCTGACTTTCCAAAGGCCGAGTATCCTATTGTTACCATTAAATTAGGCTAGACTATAGTGAAATTATTTTAATACAACAGAAACTGACATATGTTCAGATAATTACTCCTAATTTTAGTCCTAAACAAATTACAATTATGGTACATTGGTTCAGTTTACTTATTTATAGTTTGTAAATTGCTTAATTAAAAATATTATAAACATCATCACTGCTTGGTGGCATAAACGTACGATTGCGCTACGCAGGATGCCAGATATTGTTAAACTTATCGAATAATAATATTTATTTATTAATTGTTTGTGTATTAATTGTTAGCTTTCCGAACGTAGCGTTTTTAATGAGATGTCAATTTAGTTCCCTTTCTTGTCTAGGGTAATTCACTATATAGGGCTTTGATGTTTCGCTCGGGGTAATTACCGACGTCGGGCAAAGCTCGCGTTGTTTGGTGTTTTCAAACACTAGACGAATTTAAGGGGATTTACCCTAAGATTAACCCCATGTCTGTTTGAAGAAAACTTCTTCCAATATTAATGAAGCTCACGTTCATCAAGTGTAGGAACAATGAAACGTGCACTCCTTTACTCTACATTGTGAAAAATATTTCCTTTGTTATTGATTATTTCATGTCTAAATTACAAATTATTGGAGAAGTTCGTAGCTACTATAGAACTGATTGATTGATTACAACTTGATTACAACATTGATTTTTTATGCTACACGAGTCGGTGCCCCTGGCCACTAGTTCTTTCATTGAAATTATGATTAGCGTCGAGTCCAGATGACTTCATGCTGAGCTAGGAGTGTTCAATAGCTGTGTTCATGCTGAGCTAGGAGTGTTCAATAGCAGTGCTCATGCTGAGCTAGGAGTGTTCAATAGCAGTGTTCATGCTGAGCTAGGAGTGTTCAATAGCAGTGTTCATGCTGAGCCAGGAATGTTCAATGGCAGTGCTCATGCTGAGCCAGGAATGTTCAATAGCAGTGTTCATGCTGAGCTAGGAGTGTTCAATAGCAGTGTTCATGCTGAGCTAGGAGTGTTCAATAGCACTGTTCATGCTGAGCCAGGAGTGTTCAATAGCAGCGTTCATGCTGGGCTAGGAGTGTTCAATAGCAGTGTTCATGCTTAGCCGGGAAAAAATTGAATCAGAATCGCATGAAGGATGAAATCGGCCTTCCATGTATCATTGTATCAAAGACTCGCCTAATAACGGCAGTTAATAGACTACTTATATAAGATTATAGAATATGAATAGACGAGATTTAACAGACTGTTAGGTATATCTGAAACACATGTTAAAACCTGATTTGCTACCAAATCTCTTAAGTTAATTTAAACTTCGACAATTTGGCCTGCATGTCTAAGAAGCGCGCAAGAAATGTCGTAACTTTATAGGAATGTTGGAACTGTATAAGAATGTCGTAAACACGCTAGGAATGTTGTAACTGCCTGCCTGAGAAACACGCTAGGAATGTTGTAACTGCATGCCTGGGAAACACGCTTGGAATGTTGTAACTGCATGCCTGGGAAACACGCTATGAATGTTGTAACTGCATGCCTGGGAAACACGCTAGGAATGTTGTAACTGCATGCCTGGGAAACACGCTAGGAATGTTGTAACTGCATGCCTGGGAAACACGCTAGGAATGTTGTAACTGCATGCCAGGGAAACACGTTAGGAATGTTGTAACTGCATGCCTGGGAAACACGCTCGACTGAAGTATGGGTTTGTAAGGCCAGATAATTAGTTAAACCTGCAGAAAAAAAGCGTCATTGGCATCAATGATGAATTGTTCGTGCCGCGCAGGCTGTCATAACATTCCTCGTAGGCCTCTAATGAACGGAGCGTCGATGAGTTAAAGCTGCTTCGCTAGTGATATATTCCCAACCATCAATCAATTGAAAATAGATCAACAATCAATCGTTAATTGTCGTCTTCTAAAATACTCTGTTCATGATAAGTGTTTGCAGCAGCATTAACACAAAATTAACACACATTTACTAGATATATTTTTGTCAAGCCCCTAAAAAACTAAGCGTTATTTGGTCACGAAATTGTCGGTTTCCGATTGCAAATTTGATGCGCACCAAAATAATTTTTTAGTTATATAAGATTGAATATTTTTTTACTGTACTTGAGTGCAGTCAAAATATGTGCTTAATATGTGGCGCAACGAAGGTTGAAAAAGAATATATGGGTTAACATTAACGAGTTTATTGCCACTGACGATCGCTCGTTGTTGGTTTTTGTATTTTTCAAATAAAATACTAAATATCGTGAATAACCTCACTTGTAATAAATTTAGCGCTATTAATAGCTATTGACCGAGTGCAACGTTCTGGTCTCCACTTCACGCATTGATGTTCCGCTGCTTCTGACTGTGAAAATTTCAAATCTGTAGAAAGAAACCTATTTTTCGAGTAAAGATTAATAATCAAATGGTATTCCAAATTTATTGCTTGGATAAATTGGCTGATGACTTGATTTATTAATTTAATTTCCAAGATACTTTCTACTATATTAATTCGAATGCCAGAAACTTTCCTGTTGGACACAAATTATGCTCTTTCTGGCTATCAGATTTCAAATTTTATACCAATAATTGTAGTACAAGTTTATAACATTGGAAAATTGTATAAGATCGCATCGGTAATAAACATGACAAAAATCTCCCTGTGAATCAGATACAATTTTTAATAGCCAACATTGAAATTGTCTTTCCACGCAGATCGAGTGAAGTGCTCTGCATATCAATTTTGTTTCATGAACGAAAAAACCTAGTAACCAGACGCTTTTAGTGATATTAACTATTCGGAATTCGATCCATTTTCCAAACCCATGTTCCTAATCAGGTTATAAACAGTTTAATTTAACTATATTAGAAGAAGTTATAATATAACTTATATAAGACAATAATTCATTATTAGACAAAACTTCATTATAAGACAAAACTTCATTCATTTATTCATATTATTCTCTCATATAAATAAAAATGATCTGCAAAATATCCTTCTCTTACCGCAGGCTATGACGGTCCGCTGCAGCTGGCCATGACAGAAGGCCAGAGCCCTGACGCGGTGGCCGCTGCAGTGGACGTACCCCCACAGGCCGCTAAGAACCTCAGCCGCAAGAACCAAACTCCGGTCCGCGCGCAGCCCGGCAAGCCCCAACTCAAAGCCCAGCTCAGCCAGAGCGACTCGGTGGGCTCTGGACTGGGTGGCGTCAGAAGAGGCGTATCACAAGGTTCGCTGTTTAGAACATGTTTAGTGCTAGATGGTGTACTACAGTTTTATGCAGGAGTCAAATAATAACATCTTGTGTTCAGATTATGAAGCAAAGGTCGCGTCATGGTATAGCGACGTCTATATATATAGGAAAATCCATGCGCATATTGATTTGGTCAATTTAAGTATAATAAATCTTACAATGTGACCCGATTTTATGCATGGGAACGCGGTAAAACTGGTTAAATTGTTTAATTGAATTAGGTACGGTACTTAAAATTTTATATTGCAGATAAGTATTGATTCTGATAATTTCCTCCTAATCATATCTTAAGAGTCATGAAACACGTTACCGGACGTTAATTTTCAGCAGAGAAGCAACTTGGGTTCTAACCTGGTTTTGTGCTTTGATAGTCAACGATGCTGGATATGAAATTCCTCTGCACTGAAACTCCGCATTATTATCGAATCAAACTAACGTAAGAATATAACTTAAACATTCCCGTGCGTATCGTCAGAATCATGTTTTGTTCAAGCGAAAATTTGGAGCTCATGATTTTGGAAGGTAAAATTTAACCTGACAGCTCTTTGCAACGAAATATCGCTCAGGACCGCATGCAAAACGCCTCTCGCATGGAACCTGAGAGCACATATTAATTCCTGAGCTCGCGGCGCTTACCGGAAAGCGCTTATTTCCATTACCCTTTAGTGGAATCAGGTATTTGTTTTCATTTCTCGACATCTGGAGGCTCATCTTTCCACACGCGTGGCCAGGCCTTTGAAAACTTCAGTTTTGTTTGTAGAATTCTAAAAGATTTTCTATATTTTACGGTGTTGCTCACATTCACTCCTCGTCAGCGCAGGGTGTCCGTGACGGGAATGCCCCAAGAATTTTTTGCGCTGGAAATTTCTGCACATTCGCGGGAAAAGGAAATCTCTTCTTTTGCCTCCGGACATGCGGATTTCAGTGGGATTTTTGTGCTTGAACCTCCTGGACTTTGTTTGATAATTAATTTGACCTGCAAACACGTCGGCCAATAAAAAGGAAGCTCGTTCTCTGATGTTATAATTGGACTAAAAAAGCTAATTAGCTCAGGATTTAAGAGAATAGTTGATCTCGCGTTAAGGTAATTTGAAGCATCGATGAAATATTTTCCGTGAAATATATACCTCATGTGTCGTTACCTAGATGTTTTAGGAAAAATTATTCTGTGAGCCGTGATTAACGTAATTTTTGTTTAATTTTTTTGGACAATTTTATTTATTAATAGATGTTTTATGCATATTTGATTTAATTAGAAAAGCATCAATTTGATTTCATTCCATTTAATCTTCGAGCTGATTTAAGCCTCCGAAATTGCAGTGAACATTTTTCACATTTAACGCATCGGAATTATCTCATAAGTGCAGATTCATTATTAAATAAAAACGATTCAGTGAGAGTTATTGGGCAACATGAAGCTATATAACTATTTGTTTTGCCCAAAAGATAACGTTCTGATTTTAATTGTATTAAGATATCAGGTCTAGAAAGGATTTAGTTTTCGACCGCGGAAATCGTTTTATTGTAATTTCATCATTTATTTATTGTCTTTCTTATGATACATTCTTTCCTGAAACAAACTAATTGTGAGGGTAATTTTTTTACTTGTACCCTAAAAAAACTAGTTTTCATTTTCTGTTCTGTTCAAAGAATCAAGTATTGCTTCTACGTAGCGCATAGCTCCCAAGTTAAATGCATTACCTGTAGTTGCAATACTCGAGTAAATAAATTTTTTATTTCAATACCTTACCATGAGTCATCATCTATGCTGCTAATTCCATATTTTACCAAACGTGTACACTCTCGATTTACACACGTGACTACTCCATAATTCACCCAAATACACACCCACGCTTTACCCACTTGTATTTTCCACGTGATTAATTCATACTTCACCCACGTTTTACCCACTCATCACACACATGGCTCCACCATACTTCACCCACATTTTACCCACTTATCACCCACGTGGCTACACCATACTTCACCCACATTTTACCCACTTATCACCCACGTGGCCACTCCATACTTCACCCACGTTTTTCCACTCATCACCCACGGCCACTCCATACTTCACCCACGTTTACCCACTCATCACACACGTGGCTCCACCATACTTCACCCACGTTTTACCCACTTATCACCCACGTGACTACTCCATTCTTCACCCACCTTTTACCCACTTAACACCCACGTGGCTACTCCATACTTCACCCACGTTTACCCACTTATCACCCACGAAGCTACGCCATACTTCACCCACGGTTTACCCATTTGTCACCCACGTGACTACTCCATTCTTCACCCACCTTTTACCCACTTATCACCCACGTGGCTACTCCATACTTCACCCACGTTTTACCCACTTATCACCCACGTAGCTACTCCATATTTCACCCACGTTTTAACCACTTATCACCCACGTGGCCACTCCATTCTTCACCCACATTTTATCCACTCATCACCCACGGCCACTCCATACTTCACCCACATTTTACCCACTCATCACCCACTGCCACACCAAACTTCACCCACGTTTTAACCACTTATCACCCACGTGGCCACTCCATTCTTCACCCACATTTTACCTACTCATCACCCACGGCCACTCCATACTTCACCCACAAGTCTGGCATCATTTTTCCCCCAGATGGCATCGCGAGCGACGCGTCCGTGCTCGACCTGGACGATCTAGACGCCGAGGACCAGGAGTCGACGCCCATACTCACCAGGTGAGCGGCAATGCTGTTAATTTTTTTTTATTTATTTCCCATTAAATTTTCTTCACTGAACTGAAACGCTTAAATTCAATGTCTATTGCGTTAGCCACTATAGGGTTTTAATATATAATTCTATTCCCTATTGTATTAACTAATCTCTTCATTCTTCACGCTGCTTTAAATGTTATCTCAACATGTCCCTCCACCCCTCACCTCTTCACATCCCTCCTCACCCAGCTCCCCGCTCTCCCCCGAGGACGGCTCCCCCGCGGCTGTGATCCAGCCCTCCCCCACCCCCACCCGTAGCCAGCCCACCGCCTTCGGGATCGACTCTGTGGTGAGGCTTGGTTATGGTTAAGGTTATCATCAATGCCAATATTATTGATATTTGAACACTTTTTTATTATACCCTACCAAGAAATTTTTCTAAATGCTTTAAGTTACTGAACTCAGTTAGTATTCTAAAATAATTATTTACTTGTAAATTTTTTGTGTCAGATGAACTCGCTTGTATGAGTTGAAATTCTCTCGACTGCTACACATGATGGAAATATTCTGGCATTATAGCGTCGCATTAAAAACTGCCCCAATATCATCCAAATTAATGAACGTGTTTCAAAATACCTCCTCATGCCAGTCCATTCACGTATCCTCATTACCATTCAAATTTCCCTACGTATTTAAATGGTCTATTAAGTAACCCTCTCGTCTTCACTTGTCAAACGGAAGTTTTTCGCATGCAAGAACCTTGAACGTTACCCTGCATATTAACCCTGCAAATTACCCTGCAAATTAACGTTTCTTCGGTAAAATTCATTGCGTTATTTTACGTTTCTACTCTCTCCCACTTGCCAGGACAGAAGCATTCCTCTTGCGACTGTCTTTTGTGCCCTCGCCTTACAAATTTACCTTCGTTTTTGCATTTCTATAGTCACCCGTTCGGTCCCACTTGTCAGATCGGAAGTATTTCATTTACAACAGTCTAAAGTATTCTCATCCTTCAAATTTCTTTTTGTATTCAGGATTGTAGAGCTATTTTTAGCGCATTTTCTCATTTATGGAAAAAATGCACTATTGTGCTCGCCAAGTCCGTCCGTCTGTCTGTCTGTCTGTCTATCTGTCCGTCTGTCCGTGACCTCAAGTTTTCGTCGACGAGAAAATGCGCTCTCTGTCACTCACTGCAGTGAGGACTGTTTTACATTTTTTATATACTATGCTTGCCAGGACGCAAGTATTGCAGCGGTGACGTCACTAGCTGACCCGATGATGTCAGGCCAGTCGACAAGTCAGGAGATCGAGAGGTTCTGTCTCGAGCCCGCGCCACAAGGAGTGCTCATCAAGTGCAGGATCTCGAGGGACAGGAAGGGCATGGACCGAGGACTCTACCCTACTTACTTTCTACACAGAGAGCGCGAAGATGGGAAAAAAGTTAGTATTTCTTCACTCAAATTACTAGGGTTTTTTCAGTGATCCCAAACAATCGTTTTTATGAAATTAATTTTTGTGATAAGTTAATCTTGTTCAGTAGATTACGAACTTATATAAATTGGGTATTTTTGTTTTACGTTTAAATACCGTCCATATTTACCATCTATAAATGAATATGGAAGGTATTAAGTAACTATCAGAATTTACTTCATACTTTGAAATTAAAGTTTCGAAAAGGTTTTACAAAATCATTTCTGAATGATTAAACGCTGTAGAAAAATTAAGTGCAAGGGTTATATAACTGCTTATGTATCTAAGATCAGGTATATAAATGAGCAACTTCAGACCGAGAGGGTCAAGAAGAATATTTCGTCGTCGAAGTGATGAGACGGAAATAAATTTCAGGAGGCCCATTTATACTTTCTGAGGTGTACCATGGGAAATTTCGCACAATTTTTTCAGCGGTTTTGCGGTTAAAAAATAACAACATTGCTATTGAACACTCCTAGCTCAGAACTTGACTAAATTTCAAACATGATATTCCATTCACGTAAGCAAAAGTATCTATTACACCTGCGTGAATAGTGAGAATGTAAATCGCAAGGCGGCGACGAAGTAAAGGCGAAGAATGTGAGAATCTTCGTTTTTTAAGGAAGAAATAATGTGACTGATGCCACGACGAAGTGGGTACTCGTATATAACTAACTAAGCTACGCATCGTTATAAATAGCTGAATTATGGCGCAAACTAATGATCATGTGTCATGAACTGTGAACTACTATGAAATCTTACCCGAATGGGTATTTAATAAAACTTTGCTCATTAAATATTCCTATATATATTTCAAATAAATTAAATATTTCTATTCTATATATTTATTCTATATTTCATTAAATATAGGAATATTTCTTTGAAGTGTGTTGAATATTATACGGATAAAGGTAAATGAAGTTAAAACCATTTTAACCACTCAGCAACGGCCGCTAGAATTCGCTGCCGTTTTACATTGAACTTGCATCGCACATTGAATCCTATTGCTGGGGTCACCCAGGTTCGTCCAGCCGTACTTATAGTACTTTATCGTGGACCCCAACAAAGGCTTGCAATAAAAGACACTTCCGAAACCACTCTCTTGAAATCTGTAGTTTCAAAAACTCTCCTTGACACTGTGGGCTCACATGCGGGACTGACCAGGACGGACTAAAGCAAAGACACTTCCGAAACCACTCTCTTGAAATCTGTAGTTTCAAAAACTCTCCTTGACACTGTGGGTTCACATGCGGGACTGACCAGGACGGACTAAAGCCTACAAATCTAACTTCCGCATTTCTAAACTGAAAACTAAAATTACAAAAATACAAAATTATAACATACTAAATTCTAATTCCCTAACACTATGAGCGTTAGCTTGGTTGCCACCGGTGGCGAAGCAGCTGTCAATTTTCTATGCACAGTTTTCACAAACTCTGTTCAGCGTAAGTTTGTGTTACTCACTCAATCATGAATCTTGTTCACAAACTTTCGGAAGCCGCATGCGCAGAAAATGCTTGGCTGGTGTAAACGGACCTTCACATATGCATTAAATCTCAAACCTCCTGATGAAACTTTTTTCAGTTATTATTTAGCGAAAAACGTCATTTAATTATTCACAGATATTCTTGCTGGCTGGCCGCAAACGCAAGAAGTCGACGACGTCGAATTATTTAATCAGCGCTGACCCAACCGACCTGTCCCGTGGGGGCGAGTCGTTTTGTGGCAAGTTGCGTTCGAACCTCCTAGGCACGCAGTTCACCGTCTACGACAGCGGCGACGGCGGCTGTCAGAAGAAACAGTCCGAAAAATCGCGGAACAGATTGGAGATCGCAGCAGTCGTTTATGTGAGAATAATAATACTTAAAACTTTGATATAATTGGGGGAATTAATTATTTTTAGCGCATTTTCTCATTTATAGAAAAAATGCCCTATTGTGCTCGTCATGTCCGTCCGTCGGTCTGTCCGTGACTTCACGTTTTAGTTGATTCTTAGAAAATGCGCTCTCTGTCATTCACTGCAGTGAGTACTGAGTTATATTTTATTCTGATTACTTTTGTTTTTCCTTGACTCAGTTTGTATTTAATTTACTTCTGAGAATCTTTTTCATTTGCTTATTTATGCTTTAAACACAGACTAAGATCGGTTTCATATATTTCCGGAAATCATTTTTGTTTGTCTATTTATATGTTGTTCCCCCTGACTCGGTTCATATTTCCCTTACTTCAGGTTACTGTGTTTTCTTCGCATTTTTTAATTTCTTTTGTTCACATCTTTTCATACGAGTATATGATCAAGTATCGCTATTATGTTCCATGGTTTTAGGTTTTCCCCGCTAATTTGATTTTTTTTTCACATAACCTTATCCCGTATTGTTTCTGTCCAGAATTTTTTGTGCAAATTTATATTATATTCTTCGTCTTTTAATTTTACTTGGCTGCCAGCTCCTTACAAAATTTCATTTTATGATCCCTAATAAATTTACCTAAAATCATTTAATACTTCATCATCCACTTATCAGGTTCTAGATCATACTCCATCAAAAAATTTTATTTCCATTCTTCTCGTTACTTCTGATCTATTCTGATATATGTTAATACCATTTGTTGCGGCATGTCAAATCCATGTTTGTAACTTTTAAAGCAAAACGTTGACCGACATGGACCAGTGAAGTACAATCAAGAGGTCGAATTATTCATAAAACATTTTCCAGGCTTTCAATTCTTCATGCCGATTCCCTTATACATAGTAACATAATATGTGTAACATTATGTCAAGCCCTGAACTCAGGACCTCAGCCCGCCTTTGGGCTGCTCGCTTTCGTTAATTATTTCTTTACAAGTCGTGGGCTTTATTTCTGCTAATGGTCGCCGAGAAATAAGACGCGTTACAAAACCTGGGCTGGTTTACACGGGCTGTTTATTCAGACTCAGCGAGGTTTTCTCTCTTTCTTCTCTCCTATTTACCATTGGATTCTTCAAGACAGTTTTTTGTGTAATGCTCAATCTTTTTATATTCCACACAGTGTTCTATTCGCACCTGTATTAATAAGAGCAGATAGATTTAATTCAAATGGTTCGAGTCTTTTGTGTCATTTTAATGCAATGTATGTGGAATTTGTCTTCATGTGAAATTTGTCTTCGGTAATTATTTTAGTCACTCCTAAATTGGTACAAACTGTGATCGAAAATAGATCCAGTGATGCATTAGGTGTTGTGTTTCCATTAAAACCTGATCGCTCTTTCTGCGTTAGTCTGCCGGCTTTATCAGTTCTGTACGTCGCATAACGTCAACCTTTGTTTGTGAAATATTTTGCGTCTCACTGGCACTACTCTTCGTAATATGTCTTGCGTCTTATTTCCATCAGTGCATCTGACAATGATTCATATTAATTAGCAGCCAATTACCCTTTGCGTTATTTAGCTAGTTCTTAAAATCCGTACCTCAAATAATGATGTTTCGCACTATTCAACGACTCCTTTAAATAATTATTAAACTATGACACGCTATGTCTGGCGCCCAGGAGACGAACGTGCTGGGCTTCAAAGGACCGCGGAAGATGACCATCATCCTGCCGGGGATGACAGAGGACGGCAAAAGAGTTATCTTCATGCCAGCCAACGACCAGGAAACTTTAATAGGTCAGTCTGACTCGACAATGTTTTTTTCTTGAGGTCCCAGCAGTCATTTACGCTTAATTGTCTTCGTGCCAAAAATTACTAGGTAGGCCTATACTGCACATATTTGTTCGTTTCGTGATGTCTATTCTAAAATGAGTGATTTCATCCTCTTGGGTTTTTCGTATTTTTTTGAGCGAACTTTTAATAATTGAAAGTAAAAAATGTATTTTATGTGTCATTAAAGCCGCTCTCCTGAAACCATGTTATTAAAATAACAGATAATTTAAATAAAAAATCTTTTGTGCGAAAAGTCGTGCACTTGGCCGAGCAAAATTTTACTTCTCAAATAAATTTTCCTTGTTGGAAACATGGATTTATGAAACAAAATCATGCGTCAAGAGGATTTTTTCCTTTATATTTAGCATATTTAGTAGCTGATTATACGTACTGATTTGAGTATTCACCCTTTCTACTTTTCATTTTGACTGAATATAGATAAAGATTTCTTAAAAAATAGCGCTAACTGGTAACTTTTATTTTCCACCTGAAATGTGAGTACCTCATGTTTGCGATGACGCTCCAAATATGCTTATTTCGAATTTTTGATACACGTTTTCGATATTAACAGCATTAATTACAGGTCATATCCTGATGGCCAATAATAGCGCGCCGACCATTCAGATAGCCTAACAGGTCATTAGAATGAAAAATTCATAGCAAACTAACCGGTTCGCATTGTGCGGTTCTCTCGGTGCGATAACGACTAATCACAATATCGTTTCGTTCTTACCTATATAATTTACGACTCTTAACCGTTTCTTAACTGCTTAAATCTTCTTCCAGGTTAAATCTACTTTCGTAAGCGTTCAAGTCAAATCTTTTAGGTTGCCTCGCAGGTCATTAAAATGAAAGATTCGTAGCAAAGAAAGATTCGTGACAATATCTTCTCGTTCATACGTAAAGAATTTTCCACTCATAACAGTTTCTTAACATCTTAAATCTTCTTTCAGGTGAAATCTTCTTTCGTAAACGTTCAAGTGAAATCTTTCCTAACCAACAAACAAGTTGAAGTTCGAATAAATACTTCCTCAGCCGGTAAAGAAAACTACTGTCGCATAACTATGAAGGGACAACTTTGTACGTTGCATTAAAGGTTAATCTGTTCCAAATTCGAGACAGTTGGCCACGCCTATTTTTATAGAGAAGTAAAAATGGTCGTTTTCCCGGATTCCATTAAAAGTTTGAATCCGTCTTAGTAAATTCCAAACAAAGTTTTAAAAATTACAAAATCTGATTTGTAACTCAAGCGAAATTTTTATTTTTCATTGGAAACTAATGCATCGCACAATCAAATTAGTGCAGGACATCTCATGCCATGGCAATCGTCGTTACTTTTGAATCAATTAAAGATGAGGGAATCAGATAATTCCTTTTGCTGGGGCAAGTTGCTAAGTTATACGTATTTTGCGTGTAAATAATACCCAAAGCGAAAGCTTAAAATAAACTATCAAATAATATTTTAAAATTATCTTCTTTGTGGAAAGAAATACCTTATACCACCGACCTTGTGATTGACGGATTTGTTTACGTGTGACTTAATTCCTGCTTCAATAGCATTAATTTGCCGAAAGTGTTTCCCGCCATTCGAGTTGCTCGTCTGCCTTCCTTTGTTTTGAACCCAGTGTTGCCCTGGGCTTTGGAGTGTGAGTGAGTGCTAGTGTTGCTTTTCTTTCGGGAAAAGAAATAGTAGGCTAACCCGTACAAATTGCCAATAAGAGTGAAATTCACAATTAAAAGTAATTTTCGATCATAGAATTTGTAAATTAGTGTGTTGGAGCTGATCGAAAGCGACATAGCTTTCTTTATTTATTAATTTATTTATTAGCTTCGAAAGGAAATAAATTGTTCTCGTTCAGTCGTTCTATTGGTTCGTAGATCTCGAAATAAATTCTAAGTAGGCCTACCTAAATGTTAAGGATAGACTTTCCCAAATATTCGTCGCATTCACACTTCACAGTGAATGAAAATAAACTTTCAAGGCGTGTGCCATGGAACCTGCTAAAATACTAATAAGTTTATATGAGTTGAAACCCATTTCATCTACCGTAGTAAATTATTGAGTATTCACCCTTTCTACTTTTCAAATTGTTCAAGTTTTGAATGATAATCAGTTATATAATAATATAGTTGTCTGATAATTTATCATAATGGTAACTTTGAATTCTCATCATTAAAAACCTGAAATTATGTAATTAAAAAGTGTGTCTGCCGAAATAAAATCGCTGAAAAGCAGTGCCATGGAAACGTTTGAACTATTGAACAGCGCCTGCTCCATTTTGACTGAATATTTTGCGACAAACAGGTATGTGCCATAAATATCTATATTTTTATTAATTATGTCTATGCTCCTCAATTCAATAAGTGGGAAATGTAGAAAAATATACTAACGCTAATTTTTTCGAAGCTTGACGAGTATTGTAGGAGAAGATTTTGCCGTTCAAGGGCACATCTTTACCTTGTTTGCTCATTTAAAAAACTGCTCTGCAAATAAATAGAAACAAATCAATACAAATGTATTGATTTGACCTCATTTTGGTTGGCTTAATATAGACAATGATCGCATGGTATTTTCTACATACTGGTAACCTAGTACCCTATTTACTGGATAGATAGTACCACAATGGATACGTAATACGTCATGAATAGGATGAAACAACGCATTTAATTTAAAACTTCACGGAACGATGACATTTGGAAAACATAAACAAAAAAGTATCCCCTTATGTTAGTTTGATTTTGGCTCCACGACGATGATTAACTTCACTCATTTAGCGCAATGAATCCCGAAGACCACACTGAGAAAAATGAAAATGGGTCATACTGACCGAATATTGACCCACTTTATTACCCACAGCACGAGAGTAGACGTAGCACTGATACGCCCTTTTACTTGGCCAATCTGAGTTAAGATGGCCCTCACAGCTGACAAATATTGCATTACACAGCTGACAAATATTGCATTACACAGCTGACAAATATTGCATTACACAGCTGACAAATATCGCACAGTGCAGCTGAGCAAATAAAATGCACGAAGCCTACTTCCGTTAGCCAAGATGGCCTGAGTATAATTTGATAGTTTTTGTTTTCAAAATATAAGTGGCCAGGATATCCTAGCGCATGGACAAGCATATGAGGCCTACCGTCCATTTAAAACGAAAATGGTTGATCTGCTAAATAGTATTCCTATAACGATCTGCCCCGATTTTTTTGGTTGCGTAGGTACCCATATAGGTGAGTATCTGTACGAACTAGTATTCATGTCCGACGGTGCGTAGCGGAGGTTGCGTAGCAAGCCGGTGATAGCGTAGTACGCCGGCGAGTGCGCAGTACGCCAGCGGGTGCGTAGTACGCCCGCTGGTGCGTACTGCGTAGTAGACCGGCCAAAGGTACGCCGTTGGAAGAATAGTTGGCCTTGCTTGCTGTACTCAACTGCAATTGTCAGGAGGGCTGAACGTTGCTGTAACTATATGAATTGTTATTCAACATCTTGCTGAATACATCAAACCTAAAGTTGAGGTTCTGGAAACTGTAAAAAACAAGTGAAACATTTGTATTCAAAAGCATTCATTTGTATTCACTGCCAACAAATCCCGACTATCTCGTGGACTTTTCGGATCAGTGGATATGTCGATAAATCCAAGTTTGAGTTTGCCTGAAACTAGAATGAAAATGCATTGGATTTCTTTGTAGGAGGTAGTATAAAGTGAAAGTTGTATTCTGAAGTATCCCCGTCAATTCTGTCTTGTCAGAGTCGCTGAATTGCCGCGTAAGCTTTCTACAATCGGAGCTTAGGCAGCGTCATCGTTTTGCCTTGCTAATGGGGAGCGCAAAATTTGTTTCTTTAACTTTTTATCTTTACTTGTGCTGCGTTTCACAAGTTTGTTTCTAATCCTGCACCAAATCCATAACAAATGGATTTTTAATAAAGTAATTTCTACAAAATCCTTCACAGAGGACGATATTTTACAATCTCGTTTGATCACATAATCATATCCTTTAATATTATCGGACAAAAATCCAGTCAGACACAATTAATTCTAAAAACGGATAAGTCAAGACCGAAAATGAATGTTGCTGCAATCCAGGAAGTAGGGGCATCGAGATGGACAATATTTTCCACTCTGATGTGCTGCTACGCTGGACAACGAAAAAAGGATATTATTGCTGTTTCGTTCCGTTCACTCTGTTCGAGTGAGGGTCATTTTTCAACTTCATAAATATAGTAATCCGTATGCTTGCTTTGTGAAAGCTTTCAGCGGCATAACTATAGATAACGCTATTTAGTTCACTTTAATATAACATTTTTGCCAAAGGAATGAACTTTTCACCATCTTTTCATGTTAAAGAACAATTTTTTTTTATGTGTAGTACAAAAATTTGTCAACCCTTTATCAGCCCAATTCAGGACCGATATTTGCTTTAACTGCAATGTCATTCATCACTTAATTGTTACTGCAGAGTGCTCAACTATAAAGAGTAACGTTCGATTGCAATTTTTTATCAAGAACAACTACTGACGTAAGCTAAAGATTGAAGCTTGTCTAAAGCTTTACGGTAGACTTATTTATACATACCTCAATTGGTCGCAAGTACTATGAACATCTATTTACATATAGATTATATATATCCAAGTCAACCAGAAGCTAAAAATCAGGTATTTATGAACAATTTTCTAACTCCTCATGCAGAAATTAAACAGAAAGTGTCGCAGCGTGAAGATATTATTTTCGTCCATCCTAACTAACGAAACCATGAACAAACACAGGATGTGGCTGAAGTATAGTATCGCCTCAATACACTTCCGGAATCTAACAGTGTTAAAAGCGATGATTGGTAAACGATTGAAACGCGATATGCCCTGGCCCGAAATGTGTGGCTGTTAACTTATCACAAAGGCCACATCAAGGTTTTTTTTATCGTTGTGTAATCTTGGATTCTTCGACTTTTCAAGTATCTTCAAATGTCTTCAAGTTCATAAAAAAACTAAAATTTAGGCTTATTACGATAAAAACGTAACTGATGTCCTTTTCCTTGTATATATATATATATATATATATAGTCAGATGGGGTAAGACAGGACCGAAATCACTAACAGGCATGTAGCATCTATACCATGAATAACTAAAAAATCCTAAACTTATCACAAGGTGTGGTTATGCAATGGGCTTAAAAGCTACAACTCAGACTTTTTGCATACAACACAGTTTTCTACAGCTAAACTTAATGTTTACTCATTTCCTTCAACTCTTGATGCCACAGTGCCTTTGTTTCCCTATAGAACGTTACAAGGCCAAGAACATGGAGCAGCTCATCGAGCTCCAGAACAAGACGCCCGTTTGGAACGAAGACACGCAGAGCTACGTACTCAACTTCCACGGTCGCGTAACCCAAGCTTCTGTCAAAAATTTCCAGATCGTCCATGAAGATGACGGTGAGATTCTGTGAAAACTTATATGCATCACAAAAATGATCTCTATTTTCCATCAATCAATCACAATCTCTATTTTCAATCAATCACATATTTCAATATTGTGAACTAATTTATTGGCCATCACAAAAACGATCTCTATTTTCAATCAATCAATCACAATCTCTATTTTCAATCAATCATACATTTCAATATTGTCAACTAATTTATTGGTCAATTATAGTGAAAGTACCTCACTGACGGTGGGTACAAGAAAATAACACTATTAATGGCGACAGTTGTCTTAGTTGTCTTTCACTACACCAGTACTAGTGACAGCAAATTTCAAACCGTGCATTCATACAAGCGTGTCAGTCAATGCGTGAAAGGCTTCAAAGCCCGTACTTAGACATGTCGTATTTTGTCTGCCATATAGATCAACTTGCATTTTATTTTCAAGTTATCTTGCATATATTGAGAGTTTTTAAACATTTTAACTCAGTAAATGTAATAACTGACCGCTCGCATACGCTTTTAAAACTTGGAAGTCACAAGTAACTGAATCAGCAAAACAGTTCTTTGACACGCCTACACATTTTCAAATGTTTTAATGGAGGTAAGTTCCATATTCGTATGAACTACGACTGTTACGAAGATAAGCCAAGCCTTTATAAAGCTCCGCCATCGCAATATAGTCAAAGTGAGTCCCGAGTTTTTCGATTAGCCGTAATGCTCGAGTGAATTTATGGTACGCTAAAGGTCTTATTTATAAATTTAAATATTTAAATTAAGCTGGAATATTGGGCTACGATATAATTAATAACTAAGACATTAATACGTATATGTGGTCGAAAAAATTGCGCTGGAAGTATACACTAAGAAGTAAAAAAATTAAGTAACTTTCGTTTTGTTGTTGGTTGTTTTTATTTTAATATGTACTATCGATTAATTGCGCTATTAATGCACGCATCAAGTGATTAAACAACGTAAGGCACTTCTCTATAACTTAGAGTTACAAAGCAAGCACGAAATCGTGGATCATGACTACGAAATAAGGGTTTTATTTTGGGAACATAAATCGTTCGAATAATGTTTTTGCTATAGAACTAGAACACATAATTTAGTTAAGTAAAATTTATTTTACTCGGAGTCTCATCTCATCATAATTTAGCAACATTCCTAAGGATTAGATTTTAAATACTATATTGCCATAGTAAAATGATCTGAAATGAGACTCGGTTTCGTTTGTGTGTTGCAGTGGACTACATTGTGATGCAGTTCGGGCGGGTGGCCGAGGACGTGTTCACCATGGACTATCGCTACCCTATGTGTGCCTTGCAAGCTTTCGGAATCGCTCTGTCCTCCTTTGATTCCAAACTAGCGTGTGAATAGGCTAACATAATGCTTATATATACAATACTCGTATAGTTATACACGTATGAAATAAATAGCTAAGGCATCTCTGATACTGGCCACGAAAATCACAGTGGTTTATTCTTGCTTTTACGAACGAGGTGAATTTGCGTGAGGAAGAAGTTGTACACCTTTGGGTAGGGATTTAGTAGCCTGCAGTCGCGGTAATTTGTGACATTAATTTGTATTGTCACCAATTATTCTAACAGAAAATTTCAGCGACAATTTAGCCACATTTTTCACGAGTATAACAAAAACTTTGATATGTTTTGATCAGTAATCTAACTATTAATGCGAAGTACGTAAAATTACTTACGTTTGTAAGAGGAAATCATTGTCGGTTGAACTTTTTTCTAAAAGTTATTTCACACAGTTAATCAATTCCTATTGATTCTGGTTGCGAGTTAAGCTGTGCTCATCAAAAATGATGAACAAGTTTGGTATTTGAACTTGAGTTGCTGCACTAGGATTTAATGGCACAAGAGCTCTCTACAAAATCCGTATTCAATTTAAAGTTCTTTCGAACAAATTCTTCGCCATGTATTGGGTTATTAAAACAATGTCGACACATGCTCGCGCATTTTGTATCCATTGCAGTTGTTAGAACAACAGCTCACTGGTCGTAAATCTTTTAAATAGATGGAAAATTATCTTGTAATAAATCTTGAAAAAATGTGCAAACTTGAGAATAACAGCATAATTTTCATATCTCCACATGAATTTTCTAGTAAGCTGGGCATTATGTTGCATTGTTGTTTTTCGGTTTATAGCAGGCCAATCACACTTTCATGTATATATCTATCCGTCCACTTATTCTTGTCATGTATTTTTTCAGCCGTTAATGTCCTCGTGGAGTGAATTAACGTGTCTGTGAAAACCGAGTTTTTCCATTATGTTAACACTAACTTGTTTGACCATGTGTTTCTTCAATATTTGATAATAGGATATTCATTAGCTGTTATTCATTAGGGTTATTAATTGGAGACAATTTAATAAGTTATCCATGGGGGAGAAAGTTTTCATCATCGCGTTCGGGGCTCTTGAAAGTAACACGAATAAAATCACCTGGTAACAGCTCCACTTAGTCATTATGTTTTGCCTCGCCTACTGGAACCGGAATTCAGCAAAAAACGAAAAGGAGCCCAAACTGCGACGAAATAAATTAATGATTAACTTATGTCATACTAGTTTTTCGACACCAAAGGTCACTTCAAATTTTTTTTTGTCAAAGAATGTTAATTACATGGTTAAGATACGGCCCAGCACCGACGAAGGTATTAGCGCCCCAAAAGAAATGTTTCTCCACAGTCACTGCATGAAGACTGCGCCGGATTTGCCTGTGCTTGATCAGGTTTGTAAGATTGTTCCTCAAAGCTTCATGGCGTATTTTGCTGTCCTGGAAGTTTTTAATTAGGCAAAATTTCAATCTTTTTTCTCTTTCGTCAAATTTGCGTCTTCAAATTTCCCTCATCAGGTTATAAACTCTTGCTTTATCTTCATCCCTTCAGTTATCCCATAGTCTAAAATAATTTACTGGACGCATAAAAAATGCCTTTAACTTAGAAAATTATGCAATTTATTTTTAAAGTACCTAACTTTAATTGAAAAAATTTCCACAACTTCTTTTAGCCATGCGTATGTTTATTGTTTAACGTATTGTTTGTAATTATTATTTATCATGTAAGGCCATGTTTTAGGTAGTAATATAACGATCGTGTTTTATGTATATTTTGTTTTTACTTCGAATAACAAATTCTTCATTTTTGTCCCTAAAAAAGATTCTCGTTGAAGGATATGCATGTGCAGTTTTGTTCAAATCAGACTTCTCCATTTTGAATTACTATAAATTACATTACAAACTCGTTTTTATGTTAGTAACTTTCATTCGTTCAAAGTTAGAATATTGTTAACCATTTATCAGTTCACTAATCAATGACTAGTTGCGTTGTCCGAATGTAATCCGTCCCGGCGCCCCGGATCACGAATGTAATCGTTCCGCACCTCGGCTCGTGAACTGAAATCTACACAAGCCAGGCAAAGGCTTGCCAGGAAACACGTTCGGTGAGGGAAAGATCCAGGTACGTTTGTCTGCTGAAAAAAAACTTATAAGGCGATACAAAAATGATTGAGAAAATCTGTTGTTAAAACGATAGATTTTTTTTAGCTGAAACGTTCGTAAACGGAAACGACTCGCATTTTAAAAATGACTGACAATATATATTCATATTTTTAATTTTCTTTACATCTAAGACGCTACTAAGTTCTGCCATAGCAAGAGAACCTCATAATATAATTGTACAGCTTTTGCAATTTCACAACGCTTTCTATGTATTCAAGTGAGTGTTGTTTCGAACTGTTCGTGGTGATGTATATCGTGAACTATTTAGCAAGCGAGCTCCTGCATCATTGGTATCATAGGTAGTTGTATCACTGGAGGGCATTAATGTGTCGAGTGAGCATTAATGGGTTTCTGTTACATTAATCCTTTTATTAATCCAAATCTTTTATATTTTATTAATACTGGAAGTTGCAAGTCGAGAGAAAAATATAGATTCTATGTTTTCTACGAATCGGGTTACAATCTCCCGTCACAAAATGCAGAGAATATGTTGAGGAACTTCAATATTCAAGCTTGTTAGATCAACTATGGTTGCTATGAGCTGGCCGAAAAAAATTACTCGCACTTCTTTAGTTTGAGTGGTATTATTTTTATGATCAAATCAGATATAGGGAAATCTGTTAGTATTCGAATTGATTATTAGATCACAAATGATTTTGGGGTTTTAATTTTTATTGCACGACAAGCGTGTAATGATCATGAGTATTATTCTGGTGTAGCCGTGAGAGAAAACCTCTTAACCTATTCACGAGAAAAATTGTGTAGTGAACTAGTCAATAATTTAATTAATTACTGTGAAATTTTTTGCGAGAAATTGAAAAAAAGTCCTCTCGTTGATTACTGTTCAATATTTTACATTACTTACCTACACGAATGCCGTTCACTTGACCTTGATTTCTTCTCCATGCAATAATTAATCAATAAATAAATAACTATGTTTTAGTTAGATTTTTTTTGTGCCATGTATACTTCTGATTAATTTTAATAAACTCTGCTAGTGAGCAATAATGTTTTTTTTAACTTTGTTTTGAAATGCGGATGTATAAACTCATATCAAACCTTCGGAAGGGAAATTTTGGAGTACAAAAATGTCTGAAATTTGAGTGGCCTTTGCTTTTTCAATTAAACATTTTTTTGTTTTCGATTTACCTTCCATATTAATGAAATTCTATACTATAATTTTAATTGTACTCTTGTGTGGATCGAAAATATATTTTGCACTTTGCAACTTACCACTCATCCAACATTGTTTAAACTTTGGTAAAATTTTGCACGAAATTTCTTCAGATTGAAGCATGTATTTACTGCTTAAACTTTCACGTGCCACAGATCTACAAAATGTTGGGTAACCCGATGAACTCGCATTGAAGTTGTGTTACAAGGCGCTAATTCTTAATCAGTCGCCTTTAAATAACAAAAATTGACCGTTATTTCTTCACTTATTATTTTAAACGAATGCGTGGCACTATAATATTATGTTTAGGTAACGTATTACTTCAATCAAATTTATGTACGTTTCAATCAATTTAAGCATTTTATCTGTAAGATCAAATGTTCAGATTGAGTTTATTTTGCTAGTAGTTTTTTAAGGATGTGCACGATCACCATTTGATTGCATCGTTTCATAAAAATTTAATCAATTGCATTTAATTTTATAAGAAACCTTTTTATTTTATCTTAAATAGATGGCGACGTAGACCATTCTGCCTTTTGTGAAGGGAGAGTGAAAATATTCAGGAAATTGTAGTAATTGGAGCATTTTTTGTATCAAAATTATCATAAAACCGATATTTATAGAAAACATGCTTGTTTTCAGTAATTATCCTTTTATTTTTCTTAAGTTTGTGCCTGTACTTTACTTTTCTTTGGAATTAGACCAATAATGAGATGGCTGAAGTAAACTGCATACATTTCAAATTTTTTATCTTTGACACGTGAAAGACTGAAATATGTCTCTGCTCGATAATTATAATTATAATAAATAATTAAAATATAATGATTATTATTGTTCTCGAAATATGACGCCCTAGCCCTTTGGCTCCACCTAACTAAAACCATTTCATGCTGTGTTTTTGAACGCATTTAGACTTGGCAGCAATTTTGTGCTTTGCGTAGCAAGTAATGCAAAGCAAGCTTGTATATTCGCGTTGCATACTCGGCCGTCGAGCTGACGGAAGAACTGCTGACTTCTCATTAATGTAGCGTTCATGAAAATCCTGTACGGAGACGACCGGATGACAGAGCGTGATCGATTGACGGTCTTGTGTGAACTGTAACAATTGTGCACGGAACGCAGATGTGAGAGTTGACTTAGCGCACCTGTGTGCTTGTGGTTTTGGTCTTTAATTTTGATTTTACCACTTGAGTTTCACTTAAAACTGCTCTAGAAAATGAGCCTAAGCTGAGCTTGATCGATTGACGGTCTTGTGTGAACTGGAACTATTGTGCGTAGAACGCAGAGGTGAGAGTTGACATAGCGCACTCATGTGCTCGTTGTTTTGGCATTTACATTTCAATTTTAACACTTGAGTTTCACTTACAACTGCTCTAGAAAATGAGACTAGGCTGAAGTTTAGTGAGGGTTAAAGCTTATATTGGTTGATAATTAGTTGATTAAAATAACGATAGTTAGAAACCGCTTCCCAATTAGGAAGTTAGTTATGCTTTAGGGAAATTTTCGCGGTTAGATGACTCGCGATCTTAAGTCTTTTAATGGGCACACATGAAATGAGGAGTCGACAGCGGTTGAAGAACTAGGCGAGCTACCCATAAACTTGAGGACGATTGCTGGATACTCGAACCATTCGTATTTATTAATTTTCAATTTGTCAATTACGTTTTTGGCCCCGAAAAAACGACAATTTTTATTTTAGCAATTTAGATAATTTAATAAAATTTTATTTATTTATTTATTATTCAATTTTCATTCATTGAATTCGGTAAATGGGCGTTTGAAATTCACACCAATTATTTGTTTACATTTAATTTAATTTATTTAGATGTGGTTTATAAA